ACACCTTACTTCAGATTAAATAAAAGAAGTTTAATTTTAACTTGATGTTTGTAAAGTTTGAAAATATGTGCTATACAATCCACACACACATTAATACATCAGTTAATTTAGAGAGATCCTTAGTTTATCATACCATGTATAGATACTGGAGCTTTTGTAAATCAGGTTCCTTGTTTTTAAGTGATACGTGTTGGAGAGTACTTATTGCACCAACAAAGATGATGTCATTATATGGGGAATAAAACAAGATAAAGCTTAGAAAACATTCTTACTTCCAGTAGTAGTGGTGTATTTACAATGATGTTTTGTGGAAATCCCAACTTCTAGTAGGTAACATCATCTGATGAAACCTGTAACTGGAAATCAGAATGTTTCAGGGAAATGTTCGGGTATCAACCAAATTATTTTGTTTGTATTGTGTAACAATTTTGTTTTATGCAGCCTTGCCTTGATGTTTAATTTGCTCTATATTAGTCTGTGAAGTTTAATCTTCTTGTAATAAATATTTGTGTTCAACATTTGATGTGGTGTTCTTTTATTTTCAGTTTAGTCCATAATTCTTTTTCGTTACAAAGAATTGTTTGCTTACAAAATTGTTTATCATCACAAGTGATTTTTTTAACCAATAGGTATCTATACATATTCTGATGAAAGAGTTGTCGTAGATGGTCAGTTGATAACAAGTAGGGGTCCAGGAACAGCATTTGAGTTTGCACTGGCTGTTGTTGAAAAGCTTATGGGAAAGGACAAGGCCAACTCTCTCATCCCTCCGATGCTTTTGAAAATCTAAGTAACATTTGTTCTGAACCATATGTTTAATATAACCTAAGCTTTTGTTATATGTATGAAAAAAAAAATGCTAACTTGTTAAATTTTGTGAAAAAAAAATCAGTTTATTAGAAGTTGAAAATGAAATAAGCATGCTTCCCATTTTCATAAAAACTTACTTACTCAGCATGTAGCAGCAAAAAGAACAATAAAAAAAAAAGATATAAATAAAGCTGATGTTTCTTACATTGATTCACTTGACTATGTGTGTCTTCTCTTGATAAGTATATTTTAAGTATTAATGTGTATGTAACTGACTGAAACAAAAGTGTTTTATTTTAGAAAGTAGTTGACTACAACAAACAGATAATATATTATTACTTGTATATTCTCTCTTATAGAAATGGCAACTCTCTGATGCTTACAACCTCCTTTAGCTTCTATGACAGCACTTTCATACCTAGTAGAATGTTTCAGTAAATAAAATTAATACATTTTAGAGTTATAAAAAAAACAGTCAGTAATATAAATAGAAAATATAACAATATTCAAGTGAATATTAATGATACATTTAATCTAAATTATTCCATTAACATTACAAAAAATTACATGCTATTATAATCCATCACATGAGCTGGTGATCAGGCAGCACATATGTAAATCAGAACAGTCAGTACAATTTACAGAAACTATGGCTGGCATAACTCCATGAATTTATAGCAGGTATTTCATACTTAGTAATTTTGTTACAATGTATATGTGTAGTTTTGTGTTTTACTTGAACCATTGACATCCCATAAAACATCTTCATAAATTAAATCTACTATATTTAAACTGGAGGATGAATTATGAGCTTTTGTTAATCGAGAGTATATTTTTTTTCAAATTTGTAATCACTTTTACTCAAAGAACTACTAACTTTTTCAATAATAATTACAATAATATGTAGTCTTAATTATGAGCAACAGGCAAACTGAAGAAAAACTTTTATTATATCATTACTTACGCACCCTTGATACTAGGAGTATTTTTTGGTCCTTAACTCGAGAACACCTGACAATGTTGGGCCTCTTTATCGGAATTACTAAGCCTCAAAGCAGAACTGTCGCATGTAAAACTTCATATACCATGCCTGTTACTTTTATAACATTATAAGAACACCTGTATTATAATATCAATCCTCTACCAATGTATCTTGTACTATATTAAAAGTAGGTTATTAAAGAAAATAATAAATAAACTTTGTAAATTATTAGTTACTTTGTCAAAGACTTCTTTAAAGGTTATGTCATGGGATATTTCAATTTAAAACTAAATCTATTATCACAATAAATCTTATGTTAGACGTCAATGTGATATTAAGTTTAAGCTAAATCTATCATTACAATAAATAATGTGTGGTTTTGACCTTACGTAATAAACGTCTTAAAAAAGTATTATTTTATATGCTGCCAAATTCGTCTTCATTGTGATTTTTTTAGACAATATTGACCATGAAAACTGGAGTTTTTCTACGGATTTCCTCCTTAAAAATGGCCTAAAATACTTCTAATTCCAGTGGATACTTTTGTTATCGAGAATGATGATCAATACCTTTAATTGTTTTATTTTTTCTTCTGCAAAGGTACAGATAACTCCCTTTTACATTATATTTTGTATTTACTGTATATATATATTGTTATTTCAAATACCATTTCTTGCAAGAGAAGTTCTTACTTGTTTCAGACGAATACTTACGTTATCCATCAGAGTGTACTTCAACCTTGAATATGCTAAGACGCTTGTAAATTATTCATAATATTAACTTCTGTAAAATATCTTCATTGGAATGACATTAGTAAGAAAAAAGTTATCACCTGTAAATTGTCAGTTTATTAATAAGATGTGATAAACTCGTTGGAATATTACTCATGGAAACTGTTTATGTCATTCTTCTATTAATGAAATTTTATGCAGTGAAAAATCCTCTGATTACCATTCGTTTATTAGAAGAAGTTTTAAATTTTCTTGTTTACAATTTACCATGCATGTATTCCTATAAGCTATATTTTTAATACTGTAATTTGTTTGTTTGCTACAGAGAGATGTGGGTTATATGATGAAGATGTTAAGATCAAAAGATTTAATAAGATAGGCCTAGAACAACTAGAAAGTTCTAAAAGTTTTTATTTCTTCTTTAAATGGTAGGTCTTTTTTAACTCCTCCTTAAATTAATATCATGTTATTCTTGGTATTAATTTTGTATCTTACTTCTAATTTTTAATTCTGTTCTTTCTGATCTTTTAGTTTTCTATCTCTTTTTTTTTCTTCTTCTTCAAATGCTCTGTCTCTTTCTGAATGTACTTCTTTCCATTGTTTTATTGTGTCCTTCTGTACCCTTGTGGTCATCTTGAATGAAAGTTAATGTTTTAGTCAAGGTTCTATTTTATTTTCACCAAAATAACACCACTTCTGACACCAGTGTTGTAACATTGTAATATAGCATCCAGTCCATGCAAATGATGAGTTAGTTTACTTATTTTTTAACCTTTACAAGCTTAAACATTGTGGTAACTTGTAGGCCACCTTAACAAATGACACTAACTGTTACCTTTATATTTTGGGGTATTCAATGAAGTGTATGTAAACATCTGTCTAGATTTTACTGTTTACTTTTTGGGATGTATAATAAAGTGTATGCAAATGTAAAAAAATAAACTTACTTGTACAACTTCATGGCTGAAATGAAACATATTGCTTCATTGCACTGGCTAGGAAGAACTCATGATCTTCTTAACTATCTTTTTTGATGCTTCACTGAACCTTTATTTATAATCTACTTCTAGAATTTATAAGAAAATCTGACGTCAAAATTATTTAAAACTTTCTAGGTGCTCTAAGCCTATCTTGTTAAGTCATCATTACAATCTACAGCTCTCTCTGGCAAACAAATTACAACATTAAAAATACAAATTATAACAGTATTTTCCATAACTTAGTAATAAGAAGATTAATTATCATTATTTTTTCCATAAATAACAATTTATAAAAATAATGAAAATAATATATTGTTGCGTCAGCGAGATCACGTGACTATTTTGACGCCACCTATTTTCTAGAAGTAGCTTGTTCCTTCGTGAATG